ATCTGTCATTCTTTGGGTACTTAGCGTGTACTAAGTACCTTTCATGCATTTTCTTGTTTAATCCAAACGAAAACTTAATGAAGTAGAGATACCATTTTAATGCTCATTTTACTGAGGAGAAAACTCAGGCTGAGAGAGGTCGATGGAGTGGCTCATGGGAGACCAGCTCGGCTGTTCGCGTTCTGGCTCTGCCATTATCAGCCACATGGTCTTGAGCAAGTTATTCGGCATCCCTGACCCTCCGTCGTCTCCTCTGCAAATGAGTCCCGAGGAAGAGGCCTGTGAGGGTCCCTTGAGCTGCCCACACTGCCCCGAGAGCAGCTCCTGGCCCGCAGTGCGCCTGCACTCAGCGCATGTCACTGCTGTTCCAGGATGGTGATGGCGACATGTCGGATGCAAGAGCCTTTGCTCCTGAGCCCCAGGCTGCTCCAGGTCACTGCAGTCGTTGCTTTGAGGGTGGGGAACCAGATCAGCATCGTGTGGGGTAGCGTCTAGATCATGAACTCCCCGCGGCCACGGCTCCCTCAGGGTGCCCCCTAGAGGACTAGTTTGGATTGAGAATCTAGCGTACCTGCTGTGTTTGAGCAGAATCTAGGGATGCTTTGGGCCGTTGGGATAACGTTGGAGCTGAGGAGAGTGTATTTTTGCCTCGCCAGTCGGGGAGGATACCGCCTGAGGTGGAGGGCGTCCCACGTCCTAGAGAAGCCAGTACAGCACCTTTCACGCTGATGGAGGATGCGGGTGCCAGCCGAGGTGGAGGTGGAGGTGTCGGGAGCTGGGCAGGCACAGGGCGAGGACAGTAAGTCACTGCCAAAGGATTATAGATAAAGTGAGAATACTGGGGAGATCAAGACGTGAGCCGTACACGGAAAGGAAATAGGGGACAGAGACGGCTAAATTAGTAAAAGAAACGTGACCTTAAGCAGGAAAAAAAATGAAGGTTAGACTCCATCATTGCGCAAATTTTGGTCAAGATGAAAGAAACCATTCAATGAACGAAGTTAACGAGAGAAACACTGTTACAGAGCGCTAGAAAACTCTGCAACTTTGACCTTGGTTTTTCCCCCCCTCTAAACTTAGGAAGTTCGGCTTTATCTTCATTTTAAAAACAAAAGCACAAGGTGCCCTCACGGGAATAACGCTGCCCTCTCTTGTCTCTTGCAGGGGGATTTCCGAGTGTCTGCCCCGCCTGACCTGCATGGTCCGAGGGATCGGAGATCCGCTGGTGGCCGTGTACGCAAGGGCCTACCTGTGCCGGGTAGGACGCGGCGCGTCCCCATGCTCGCGAACGTGGCAGGGTCCTGCCTCCTTAAGGGTTCAGCTGGCTTCTCCGCCAGCTCGTGAGTCACCGAAGGCAGGCCTTTATTAGCTGCCGGTTTTAGAACTCGGCTCTTGCGCAGAAAGCAGAGCTGTAGGGTTTTCTCCTAAAATTAATTTTAAAGTAGAACCACTTCTAATTAGAGGACATTTAAGGTCATCTTCCTACAAATGAACTGGCTTTCAGAATTAATTTGTTTCTTCCTTCTTGCTGGAAAGAAGGCCCCCAAGGCCTTTCAGCTGATGTGTTGCTTTTCATTGACTTGAAAAGTGCTTTCTCTCCCTTTGTCTAGAATTTGATCTTTTTATTAGTTTTCCTGTCCTCGTGTTCGAGTTGGCGCAGAGTCGAGTTGGGGAGGGCCGGCTGGTGGGGGGAGGTGCTTCCTGCGGTGACAGGAGGGTGCAGGCCCCTCGCCCTGGCTGCTCTGGGGGGCGAGGTGCTCCGCTGGTACCTCACTTAGCCTTTTTCTCCTTTAATGCACCAGGAAGCTTCCACCTAAAACTTTTTTTTTTCAATTATGAAAAATACAAGCTGCAGAGAGTTCATAGTTATTTTTCTTCAGCTCCTAACGGGGGCTTTGTTTCTGTCAGCGTCCAGTGGGGGCCCTGCCCATCCCGTCCCATTAGCACCTGTCAAGTGGGCAGTTGCCCCTGTTTCGTGGGGTCCCGATGAACCGGCCTTCCTTGAGGACAAAGCTGCACAGACTCCCCCATCCCCCGCTAGTGATTATTCATATTTCGAAATCAGGTGAGAACCAGTAGCTTTTGATCGACTGCTTTTACGTGACATCTAGCACGTGACAGAGACTCTGTAGTCTTGACTGTCACAAGGAAATCAGTGATTGCCCCCAGAGAGAGTAGCAGACAACCTTACGAAGGACACTTTCATAGGTCTGCTTCTCGATCCTGAAAATGAAAGAAAAAGCCATCATTCCAGGGCACCCTGCCCCACCCCTCCCTTGTAACAGAGGCCAAAGTGTGTACGCCTTGCCATCTGCTTGAAACTTGGAGTATCAGATACGTTTCCTCGAGTTTCAACTTTGGAATATATTGACGCTCGAGTACGTTTTCTGAGGCAGCATTGGCCGAGGGTCAGCTACACAAAACTCGGCTGGGTCCTGTGGGGGAGATGCCAGGTTGTAGCTTTTTGCATGTTTGCGAGCTGCTGCTTTTTCCCTACGGAGCATAGCAAATGCTTCAAACACTCACCTTGACATCAGTTGAATAACAGTAATAAATATTTAGGATTACTTTGTGTCTTATGAAGATGCTTCTGTCAGGAAGAGGAGAGTAATACTCATTCCTCACCATCCTGTTCAGTTTTAAAGTTCGCAGTGAGGAGCATGAGTTAGGGAGGAGACGTTCGTTGCCTACGAAGTGCCTTCGGATGGCAGATGAAACTTTAAAACTCGGTGACGGTGAGGAGAGATCGCAGACCCAGCCCAGGAAGGCCGGCGACGAAGTGCATTGTACCTGTCGAAATCCTTTCTGTCAATCCAGGCGGTACATCAGGTCCCCTGATTGGGTAGTTACCAGAAATCTTTGACATAAAAAGTCTGTGCATTGGTAAGAATTTTTTCAGTTTGCAAGGGGTAGAAACCCAATTTATGCTGCTTGAAGCAGAAAGGGCGATTGATGGGCTTCGAGGAGTCTCGGGGTTGAGCAGGCAGGGCTCGACCCACAGCCTAGAGCATTGTCAAGGGCTGCCCTCTCCCGCGGCTCCTGGCTCCCGGCCGCCCATCGGGAGCGCAGTGGAGCGAGTGCCTCTTCCCAGCCCTGCCAGTCTGAGTCTCAGGCCTGATTCCCAGTGAATGGCCTCGGGCCGCGCGTGTCCATGCCTAGACCAGTCACGTGGGCATGGGATATGCTCACTGACTCAGCCCAGGTCACGTGCCCAGCCCAGGAAGTCAGGGTGGGCCGCGTCCACCTCTGCTACGGCCTCCTGATCCAAGAGGTTCGATTCCATAAAGACAGAAACCACGAGAACGGATGCCAGGCGGGCAGGAGCGGCAGATGGAAGCCGTGAGCGGCCGCCCTTGCTTCTCTGGGTGGAAATCTTCAAGACCTGAGCAGATTTCCAAGCTGCTCATTTGGCTTGATGAGAAACGAGAAACAAAATGCAGAAGCCACGAGTGGGCAGGGCGTGGGGGGAGCTCAGCGCTGTTTATTAATGGAAAGTGTGATTAGCGACTTCAGAGTCACAGCCCCTCTGCTCATCTCCACCTCATCCCCACCTCATCTCCACCGCTTGTCCACTGGGCCTCTCTTTACTGTCGCCTAACAGATAATTATCGCCTTTTCTACGACACGAGTAAGTGGAGGGAAAGACAATAGAGCCAGAGCACAGAACTGGATCTGACATTTGTTGTTAGCATATGTATTTTTTTAAATCTGCTCGTCCTTGGAAAATCCCCCAACAGCCGTGGAGCTGCCTTTGGACTTGAACGCCCCAGTGGGCCTTGCATAATTCTTCTCCGAGGAATTCATCACTAGCCATCTAAAAGAAACAAAAAACAAAACACGGTTGTTAATCTTTATGACCTCTGGGTAGTAAGGAGGCAAGTGGCAGAAATCTCTCCCCATTGGAAAAAACTAGGTCCCAGAAAAGCAGCCGCCCTTACAAAGTTGTTTTTGTGCTGAAGCCAACAGTTTGGGATCGGGGTGGACCCGAGTGTCCGAGGAGCTCTGTTGAAGGGACACGATGGCACTTCGTCTCGTCTTAAACACGAAACGTGTTTAAACGCGCGCTCCCCCTCCACAGCTCCAAGCTTCCCTCTTCCACCCAGCCCCAGGCCTCTGGCCACCTTCCCTCCCGATCAGCACATTTTTTTTCAGCTGGAAATGTTTGTCATTTTTTTTTTTTTTAAAACAGCGAACACAGAAGCCAATGGATTATACAGCATCGTTACGCTTCATGCTCGTCTTACATAAAACTGCTTAAAATATATTGAAATTTGTGTCCGTGACTGCCCAGCCAGCAAAGAGTGAATTCATATATTTTAACAATGCAACAGTGAGGTCCCAGCTGACTCTTACATACCATGCTCTTTTGCTTCATTTAATAAGTACAGCCACATGTGTGTTTATCGCTTTTCGGAGAGGAAGAAAAAGTCGTATACACAGTCTTGAGGGAACATTCCTCCTTAGTGCTGTATCGATTTGTTCTCGTGGTCATCTATTCAGAAATACATTCATTGCCTTTGGGAAATTGCAGAGATGATTACTGAAAATGTTGAACTTTTTTCCTTATTAAAAATAGTTCCTGTGGTTTTTCTTGTAAAAACAGCACATGCTTATTGAATAAGAAAATAGGTAAGCAAAAAGTGAAAATTAACTTTCTGGACTTTTCTCTATGCCTATCTCTCTCTGTGTGTATATTTTTAATGTACAAAAATGGCATCACATTGTATGAATTATTTGCAACCCTTTTTTTTTTGGGTCGTCAAGGTAATTATGGTTTTTGTTTTTTGGTTTTTTTTTGGCTGCAGGTGGGAATGGAAGTGGCTCCACATCTCAAGGAAAGCCTGAATAAGAACTTTTTTGACTTCCTTCTTACATTCAAACAGGTAAGAAAGAGAACACTGTCAGAACAGCTAATTGACATAAGGTACATGATCAGATTCACAAAACCCAGTTGCTTTTCCCAATCGAGATTGCCTTAAAGCTCTTTAAATGTGTAAACCCTAGAAAATTACACTAGCGTCTGTTAGAAACAATTAAAATGTGTTGATTGTACCGAACAAGCAGAGAGAATGAACGTGCCTGTGTTAACAGGAAGCGTCTCTAGTCGATCAGGCTTTCTTCTGAGCATCTGCCGGCTCCATTTTTATCGGCTTACTTCTTTGCACAGCGCACATTCCCAAAACAGCTCAGCTTGGCGACATGGGAAACTTGGTGTGTTTTTTTTTTACTAGTTTAAAAAAAGAAAAAAAAACCTGAGAAACGAGGCTGTTTCTCTCGGGGCCATCCAGATACTTACAAGTACGCACAGTCTGTGAGTTGCACGCTCTTTGTTATGTGACCTTCCCTCCTTGGCTGAGTGTTTATTTGGTCTCCTGTAGATCCACGGGGATACAGTCCAGAACCAGCTGGTGGTCCAGGGAGTGGAGCTTCCGTCCTACCTGCCCCTGTACTCGCCCGCCATGGACTGGATCTTCCAGTGCATCTCCTACCACGCCCCCGAGGTAACCGCCAGGGGGCTGCGGAGGAGGAGGTGCTGGGGCCCCTCTGCTGCAGTGCTGGCCCCTGCACGGTGGCCACGGTGGCCATGGTGGCCCAGTGCTCCGCACTTTCCCTGATTGTCTTGTTTGACAATGCTGGGAGCGGGGCGTGGAAGCTCAGAGGGGACGGATACCGCTGTGAAGTCGCACAGCGGGATCGCGGTGTGACTGGACACAGACCCGTGGCCTCTGACTCCAGGGCCAGCAAGCTTCCTCGCCTCTTTCCTGACCTTCATGCACCGTGTCGCCGGGGCAGGCCGTGATAGCCTCGTTTTACAGAAGGAAAGTGAAGCTCAGATATGCAATTGCTTTTATAAGATTTTGTTTATTTTGGTCTAATCGAAGCATCGTCAGGAATTAAAGTGAAATCAGAATCATAGCAGATACAGCCTTTTCTTCCCCAAGACTGAGAAGCGGTGTCAGCTGCACGCCGGTTCATGTCGTCGTTCTAACTGAATGATGAAGCTCCCTCGTCTTCTCGGTGACGGTTAGAATTTATTCTGTAGGGAAGAGGAAAAGGGGCTCTGAAACAGGGATGCTTAGTGAAAATTCAGATACACCTGCCTTTTCCCAGAAGCTGCAAACATATCGACAGCCCTAAAGAAAAACAAAAAAGGACATGGCTTCGACTAAGCAGCCTCACTTAGAAGAATAGCGCGTGGAAATAATTGGACAAGCGCGTAAACACACACGCACCTGTGTGTCTGGGTTCTGTCATGCCAGCACAAGTGTGGCCAGCCGCCACAGGGCCTGGTTAAATGATGCTGTGTGTCTTCAGTGGAATGTCACGGGACCGTTTAAAATGACGGCCACCCGCAATGGTCCGTGTGTAGTGACATAAGGGCGTTCGCAGGGTAGTGCTGAGTGAAAAGGGAAGCCCCCCACACACTGTCGTCCGTGTCTCAAGCAGTGCGGTGGCCCCGTGTTCAGTGTGGGCCGGGTCTGAACCCGGCTCCGTTGCTTATAGTCGTTGGGACAAAGCAGAGGTCAAGTCACCTGTCTGTCCCTAACTACCACTCTGAGCGTTTTCTCATCGTCTGTAACTTGGGAGCGGTACTTTCTGTTTTCCTGCATGATCAAGCAAGATGACCCATTTACAGCGCTCCGGGGAGCTCCCCACACACGGTGCTCAAATGTTTGTGGTCGCAAACGCAGTCGATTTTGACACCCGCCTAAGAGAATGGGGGGCAGAGGACGAGATCGCTGGAGGGTGAGACTCTGGATCCTCTTACCTTATTTTTCTTGGCCAGTGTTTTCTAACTTTTCAGCAAGTATGATACATTTCTTATATTTTTATTTTTTCGAAATTCTAAAGTATGAGGAGAAAATAGGGACGTGTTGTATGTCAAGTGAATTTTTTATGATTAAGTCAATCGATTTTCAATCAAGCCAGTATTGGTGGACGATTGTTTGAAATTTACTGGCCTTCTGTATGGCCCATCCCAGCAACTACACCCTGGCCTAGGCCCCTGGTGAGAGGTACCATGAACTTGACTGTGGACAGGGCGCTCTGCCTTCCAGCTGAGTGAAACATGAGCGGGACTGAGGTGTTTGAAAATGAGAACACTTATTTTTTTTCTCCCCCTTATTTTAATGAAAGGCAAAATCAGATTAAAAACAAAAAGAACGTGGCATAAGCGTTCCTTCCATTTATTTTAAGCACCAGAAATCTCAAAGGATGGCAGAGGCTGGGAATAGAGCTTTCCCACGGAGCAAAACTCGAGGAAATCATTATTGCACTAGAAGAAGTGATTAAAAAAATTAGGTCACCCGAATAATAATAAACTCTGTTCTTAGGGCACTTAAATAAGGAACGTGCGGTGTCTTGTAAAAAAAAGTTAATCATTTCAAAATGCAGAATCGATGTCAGTGCGGAGGGTGACGTTGAAAATGCGTGTGGCAGTGTGATGCCCAAAAGCCCTATGACAGCGGCCGGAGTATGTCAGCTGGGCAGTTAGAGCCGTGGCTGACTTTAAGAGGCCACTCCTCCAACACGGGGTTGTCAGGTTTGGCTGCAGCAGTTGGTAATTTACAGGACAGGCAAGTGAGGTACAGGAGAAAGGAGAACCTTCTAGAAGAGAGGAAGGAGAAATGCCTTCAGCTACGAATATCTGCCGTACGGCATTTGAAATCAAAATTGAAATCCAAATCCCGCCCCCCGCCCCACCCGCCAAAAGAATCAGGGAATGATTATTCAAAAAGGCTTTTTCGTTGTTTGAATACAGGTTTTTCCCCCCTTATGCAACTAAAATTATGAGAGGTAGAAAATGGATTTCTGCCCCCAAACCCCTCGATGAGTGTCTCACCGTTTTCGGCAGCTCTCTGCTGTCGGGGTGGCATGGGAGGTACAGAAGCAGAGGCCTGACCCCCACCATCAGGGGCGAGCCTTGTCTGGTGTAGAGTCCCATGCGATTCGCTGAGCTGTGAGATGCAGTTCGTAGATGCCGCAGGGAGGAAGAGATGCTTGGCAGAGGCTC